TAAAGTTAGTTTTGAATTTTTACTATTTATCCTTTAAAAAATAGGAGTGGGAATGGGTGAAAAGTTATCAAGATTTATGGCAATTAGAATTTATTTTTAATTTAAAAACAAGTAAAAAAATAGATAAAAATAATAAAAAATAAAATTTAAAAAAAGGAAATTTTTTCTAAAAAATAAGAAAAATTTAGGTTTTTACCTTGAATACAATTTGGAATTTTATGCATTTTAAAGAGAAAAAAATGTATTTTTTATCAAAAATTAATTGATTATTTATTTTAAGATTAACCATCTATCCATTTTTCTATTTATTTTTTATAGAATTAGGCAATTTTAAAAGAAGTTTATTTTTTGTATTATAATTTTTTATTTTGTAAATTACTCACTCATATCTATAAAAAAGTAAGAATTAATATTAAAATAATTGCATGTATTAGATGATAATCAAGGAAAAATATTACTAAATGAACTTCAGGTACTTAAAATTCTGAGATTATTGAATTAATTATGAAAATAAACCTCCCTCAAAATTTAAAATAAAATAGAAAAATTAAATAAAAATACCTATGAGGTTAGCATTTTTGTACAAGCAGTTATTATTAGGCATTTGCTAATAGCCAGCAGGACAATCTGTGAAACACTAACCATCTGCTAAATAGTATCCACTCTTACATTTTTAACATTGTGAATCAACATTTTACAAGCAATTTGGAATTAATACACATATTTTATTACTTTCAAATAAAAACTTAGATGAGTCACATGTTTTTAAGCAAATACCAAATTAAAAGACATTAGTTGGGTCATTACATGTGCATTTACCTTTCACAGGACCTGAAGCTCCTGAAGAAATAGCACATGACAGACAATTATTTTCTAAAGGGCCATCACAACTTTAGCATGTAGGATGGCAAGGACTAATATTTACTTAAATACCTGAAACTCTAAACTACGAAAATTTATAATCTTCAGGACAGCTAGAATCGAAAGCTAGTTTGATGGTGTTTGAAGACGATTTTAAATAAGTCCATGATCCTTTTTTATTAAGATAGAATTTAAAAATATTTTAAA